CATGTCTTTGCTACATGGACCACGTCTCTTTTAAAACCTACTGCCAGCCAAATAGCTCCAATCGCCGCCTCGCCTATCCTATTTCCATCCCGAATACCAAGTCTATGACTTGGTGCCAGCCCACAAATGTTGTGGTACTGCTAGCTTTGATTAGGTTCATTGTTGAGCCCCAACGTTTGTGGGTTGGCACACGAGAAGCTTAAGTTGCTTCGAATTGGGTTAAGGCCCTTACGCCTCGCATTGCATACCCACCATACGAGTACTACCATGTTCTACGAAGTAGCATGAAGCGGTAAACCATATCATAGGAGACCCCATGAAGTACGCAAAATTAAGTATACAAAATAAAAGGGTTTGTAAGCAATCACCTTTTACCTTCGATTAATAAGTTAGTGTCTTGCTTTGGCAATCGCTGTCACATAACGGACGAAAACTCAGCACATATTCATTGGAGTAGCAGGACGATAAACCGATGACTTCTTAGTATACTTCAACAGTCTCCTCTCCGAGCCGATCCTCCCTAAGTCTCTGCTAAGGTCAATTCACGAAGCCTTTTCAACTCGCTTTGCCCTCAAAAAGAAAAATCAAATCGCACTAAATACTTAATATATTCTATGAAGCCCGGCTTTACTTGGTATATACTTTTAAAAATAATAAGTGTAGTAATTGGTATAAACTCAAGCATTGACCATCCCAAAGAATATCTATGTACTAATGAGAGAATTTATGAGACCGGCTTAACTAGAAACCTTATGGCCTACAAGGCAGTTGTAACTTAACCAGCATAATCCAGTTCTATTATGAGGGAGCTCATATAATTACTTGCTGGACTTAAAAGGGGAAGTATTCATATCGCAGATACGGTAGCAATGATCCTTTGATCAAAGCTTAGCTTAAAAATGATTAAATTGGTTATATTAAAAGCTGGTCGCTGTCTTAATAACTATACAATAGTTGTAATTATAAGAATTTTGACGAGAAGCTATCCGATAGGAAGCTCCTGCTTACTTTTGCACGGCCTCAAGCATGCTCTCTGGTAAATCCAAGCAACGCGGATGACCTTGCTTTCCGCATTCAGTGCATCGGACGGCAACTCGAACAGCAGCCTGACGACAGACATGACATATGAGAGTGTTGGGATTATGGTAAACAACAACTGGGAGAGAAGTCTCTTTGCATTCTGCTGTGGTAGAGCCTATGCCGGTATTTGGGCCATAATTGGATCGTCTGTCAGGATAAAGAAAAAGAATTCATTATTTAAATGGTATATCATAAAGGCGCCAGTCGTTGACACGTATTTCCTTTTTATTATCAACAATCCTCTAGTATTATGATGAATCCACAAGAATGGCATAAAGCGTGAATCTAAAGTTTTGATTATATATATACGCACCACAAAGCCAAATACTCTATGAAGTGTGTATACTTTAGCACCCTTCGCAGTGTGCATTTACGTGAGCTATTTACGTCACTCGTTAATTGTTTCTAATCCTGTAGAATTTCGAATGATCGACTGATTCAGCTAATTCTCAAATATGCAAGATTCTATGCGATATCCTCTTGACTCGCCAACCCGAAATTTTTATCTCCAGAGAAACATTTTCGATTGGTTGAAGTATTTTCTTTCACTTTAGGGCCCTATTTTTTAATTGAACATACATTTTTGTTGATTACACGTTTGACATGAATCAGCTTAGCCTACAATATGGGATCAAGGCCTTTGCTTCTAATTCCAGATGTACTCTTAAATCCTTCAGTGCATACTCTGGTCTGTTGTTTGATTAGCCTTCTTATTTAAGTTATAAACAAAGACAATAAGCGTCAACAATATCAGAAAATAAGAAAATAACACATTTAGACAATAAAGGGAAATAAGAATTCTTGCTTGATCGATTCCGCGGCATCTCCACGAGGTGTCAGACTGCCGAGGTTGGCTGATTCGAGATCCTGTTGAAACTTTATATCGCCTGAAACCCCGCTGCTGTGTGCATCTCCTAAATCGTGTAGAAGATGACGTTCTCTATCCCTTTCTGCTTCTAAAGAAGCTTCTGTTGCAGCAGCTAAAGCAGCTGCAGCTGATGCGGCTGCAGCCTCCTCTTGGTGCTGTCGTATCATCCGGTCCTTTACTAGTCGGGTGCGCCGACGCTCCTCCAGTAACTCATGCAACCGGCTAATGGCAAGAGGACCAAGAGGTGGAGGATGAGGCAGT